AAAATCCACTAGTGGCCTCTAATGTAGAGTAGTACTTAGCACCAGCTACCTTTGAACGAACCATATCCACTGTGGGTATTGGATAGTGACTGCGACAGATGGCTCGATTTAAGTTTCTGGGGTCAAGACACACCCTCAATTGTCCATTTTTTTTTTACGATTAAAAGTGAACTTGTTCAATTAGTAGGTTTAGTGACCTTTGTGATGACATCCATATGTTCCATTTTTTCTAATTCTTGCAATCTAGGGTACAATACAAAGAGTACTTTTCTTGGAGCATCTATTTTTGGTGTTACTTCTGGATTCACCTTTATACTGTATCACCAGGCAGATATCCTAAACCTAAGAACACCTGATTATATTTGTTAAGTGTAATATTTAATTTATTAGTTAAATCTGACTTATTAACTTTGACTTTGTACCTGTGACATAAAATTTAAGTTATGACATGACTGTGACACATCTAAATTACTTAGACATATTTGACAAATTAGGTAAAGACATTTTTATTTACGTGTTCTTGACAGGACTGACTGACTAATTTATAACGACATTTACCCAACTGACTTGACTCATCAATTGTAAACACTCTTTTTACTAAACCCAATTCTGTACATGTATCTTTCTCTAGGACTGTTGGTGAAGATACATTTGACACTATAATAAATGATATAGTTTTACACAAATACGAATTATTAACATACAAGTTACATTGCAATTGTCGTTCACCAATGACCTCAATATTATCACCACTATATGATCTAATTTTTGCCTGACAAGAGACACATTTTCTTCTGTACATTTAGACTTTTAAATGTATTATGTGACATTATATTGGCATCACAACCCGTATCAATCATACACTTCACATTGACATTATTTATAATCACATTTATTAACCGTTCCGACTGTGACGACACACTTGACTTGACATAACCAATAAAGAATTCACTATTACCAGCCTCCATACAAAATCTTCTCTGTTCCACATTGTTTTTCATAATGACCAATTTTGTGGCATTTGTTGCATCTAGCATTAAGCGCAGGACATTTATATTTATGGAATAGTCCACATTTGCCACACAAATTTTTATTTGTTTTAGACCTTGACTTGTGACTGTTATTATATTTTAGACTGGATATTTGGCTTTGAGACTTGACTGCGATTAACATACAAAACGGATGATGATTCATTTTCAAGGGACACACAAACTGGAAACAAGCATGGTTTTTGACAATTCTATGGGTCCTTCAAGATTTAATTCGTTGTGCATTAATAATCTTTTTCGAATAAAGCTGTAATTAGAATGCATATTACATATATACATGACTTTAATTAATTGTTCTTTTAAATTACCAAAAGCACATGTTTGACTTTTTGTCCTTAGATTGGTGACAAATTCTTCCATTGTTTCATCTTCCGATTGTTTCTATGTGAAGAAATCGTGACACTCAAATGTTATATTTGTTTTCGGAACGAAATGATGAACTAATTCAATGAGTTAGTTCAACTTTTTAACAACAACAAAATAAATAACTTTTAACAAATTTTATAGGTTATGCTCTCTTCGTCTTTTTGAAAAGCATTAAAAATTTTCTATTCCTCTGTCTCCAATCAAATGTAAAAATAATGCAACCTTACGTGGATCGGATTCTTCATCTAATGACGCTGCCTTTAAGTATAATTTGAACGATTGGTACTATTTTCTCCAATTCTCGGCCATGTTTCCTACTAAGCACATTGTACTACAACCTGCCATATTGGTATTTAATTTTCTTGTTTGACTTGTAATCTTCTTTTCTGACGACATATTTTAATTTTTACACCTGGCACCTTGTATTGGTTTGGCCAAATAATAGACTGGTATGTTTGATACGATATAATTAATAAGTTCTTACAGTACAATGACGTGGTTACAAATGTGAATCTATCTATTGCGTCTCACACGACTAGTGTTGTATCTACATCCTTTTACAACTAGTGACGTCTTATAGCTAGACTATCGATTATCATAACACTAACGTAAAGTGACATCCGTCATGTAACCCATTTTTCACTAAATCAATCAAAGAAATTGCAAACAATTGGATCTGTACGGGTATCTATTCCCCGTACTTGTTTGTAAGGTTGCGGGTGCAGGTGGAAACAAGAAAGACAAGTGTAAGTATCCTCTCGAGCAGAGTTCGGTGGTCTGTACTAGCGATGGAAGCGGAATGAATCGTGCCGTTTTTTTTTTTTTTTCGGACTACTCTAATGCTGTTGGCCGTAGCTGGCCTTTACAGCTTCACCGGACGTTATGGGGCGAGTGCAGATGGCACTCCAAACCCGCGGAAGGAGTTATGGAGCGGCTGAAGGCCAACTCCTGCCCGACGGATACGACTTTAGTCTGAGGGCACCACTAGGGGTTCGAACCTCGGCTCCGGCCGTCGTAATTTCGATCCCCGTTTGAATTGGACGGGGGATCGATCGGAGGGGCGCCCGGGGGCGCCGGTGTGGAGCGCCCGGGCGCGCGCAGGCGCCCGGTTGAATGCGCGATATTGTGTGTTTGAGGTCGTCGTCTTCGCCGGCGAGGACGGTGTCGTGTGTGTGTGTAAAAGTGTGGTCGGGGTGGAACGGGTGGGCCCGTGGGGAGGTTACCTGCCGTTATGGGGTCGTCGGGGTCAATGAGAACGTGCCTCGGGCGACGTTGTCGCGTATGTCGGATATTACTCCTCGGTGCGTAGTCGACCGCACTGACTATAAGCGGATTAGGGTGGGATTGGGCAGAGTCGAAGTAGCGTCGAGACGCTTCCTTCATAAACTGCTTGATGGAGGGCAGATTAAGATCGCGGTGGAGATCTACGCTGCGAACGAACCACGGCGCACCGGTGGCTCGACGCAGAAACCTATTCTGAATGACCTGCAGTCTGTTGATTAAGCAGTAGGGTATGTGGGCGAATACGGGACTAGCGTAGGTCATGATGGGACGGATGCAAGCCTTGTATAATGTCAGCTTGTTGCGAAGCGACATTTTACTGTGCTTGTTAATAAAAGGATAGAGTCGCCCTAGTATAAAGGCGGCTCGGTCGCGGACACGCTTGATGTGAGGACGAAACGTTAGTTTCCTATCTAGGGTGACGCCGAGATATTTCGTTTTCGAAACCCACGGGATGTTTTGGCCGAATAGTTCGATCGGGTGATTCATAGAGCCGAATTCCCTGCTAAAGTACACTGCTGCACTTTTTTCGGGATTGACTTCTATGCGCCACCGACGGAACCATTCGCCCAGTATCGTTACGGCTTTCTGAAGCCGTCTGGCTATTGTCGCACGGGACTTGGCGGATGTAAAGAGAGCCGTGTCATCGGCAAACAGCGATATTTCGACTTTTAAGTCGGAGAATTTGGGGATGTCGTTGGTGTACAACGAGTAGAGCATCGGAGAGAGGACGGCGCCCTGAGGGACGCCGGCTCGTATGGGGTGCGGGTCGGATAACGCTCCGTTTATACGGTAGCGATAAGAGCGATTCGACAGGAAATCTCGTACAATGAGTACTAGCCTGTCGGGGACACCTAACTGATGAAGCTTGTAAATCAAGCCGTTGTGCCAGACTTTATCGAAAGCCTTAGCCACATCGAAAAATAGGACGCCTGTACCGCCTTTGGGGGACTTGGTGGCGAAGTACAGAGTGTTTTTGTGAATGTGCTCCGTGATGCGGTGCACTTGATGGACGCATGAGTGTTTGGCTCGGAAGCCAAACTGCTCATTGATGAGCAGGCCTTTGGAGTATATAAACTCCTTTAGGCGGGCGAGGAGGATTCGCTCGTACAGCTTGCCTATAGCCTTGAGGAGGCTGATAGGACGATAACTGGACGGGTCGGATTTATTTTTACCGGGCTTGGGGATGCCAATGACCACGGCTTCTTTCCAGCTGTCTGGAAATATAGCGTTGGACAGCGCCGCGTTAAAAATAGCGACGAGTAATAACAAAAGTTGGGATGGCAGACTTTTGACTAATCTATTCGATATGCCGTCTGAGCCGGGTGATTTTTTGATAGGTAGTTGTTTAACTAGCGTTTTGACCTCATCAAGCGTGACTGGTGAGAGAGTTTCGGTGGGCGGGGTGGACGCGATGCGTTCGACTTCGGTGTCTATCTTCCCGAGATGACCTGCCTCGACTGGGAGCGTGCTGGGGTAGCATTGGGCTTCTAAGTTGGACGCTAGACACTCAGCCTTGTCTTCGTCGAAGAAGGCTATAGTGTTGTCAGGTCGGACTAGTGAATCGTGCCGCGTTCGGCACCTATATTTATACTCCGCCCGCTCGCACCGTGTCACGTACTAGGTAACGATTGTGTTACGCACATAGGTGCGAGCGGGACGGAGAGCGCGAAAAGACCACCTCTACTCGCTCCTTTATTTATTAATTTAAACTTTACATACAATACAATTATATTTAATTCTACCTATTAGGGAATTGAAACTACTACAATTATAAATTTTATTAAGCTAACAATAATCAAATATTTACAATAGTCGCGAACATATCTCCCGCCGCAGCTAAGCTGTATTTAATTCGAGTTCGCGTTGTTCGATTGGCAGGATTACTAATTTCTTCGTAGGCCGCCGAAGTATCCCCTTGTTAGTGCGTACGTCGACCGCCCGTATTTCACCATCCGGTCCCGGATACGTAGCCACCACCACGCCGCGCGGCCAGGAGTTCCGAGGCAGGTTGCCGTCCGCCACCAGCACCAAGTCTTCTAACTTGATGACTCCGTGTTTAGCTCGGGGCTCCCGCCGGTGTTGTAGCTGTATTGTGTGGGCGCGCTCTTCGCTTGTATTTTCCGTCTGGTAGGAATCGTCTCCATGAGACCACTCTTCTTCTGGTCGATATAGAAATTGCGGCCCCGGAACCATCTGTGTGTTGAAGTGATGTGGTGTGGCACGTCGCGTGTGGCATCATCCGCGACGTTGTCGGCCGTCGGCACCCATCTCCACTCGTTCTTTTTCGTATCTTCAATAATTTCAGCGACTCGGTGAGCGACGAAGGGCTTGAATGCACGCGGCCCGGTGCGTAACCAAGACAGTACGGTACGCGAATCCGACCAGTAGACACGACGGGCAGGTTTCAGATCGTGTTCTTCGACAGCCGTGCGTGACAGGCGGCTCCCTAGTACGGCCGCTTGCAGCTCCAGACGTGGTATAGTGGTGACCTTGTTTAAAGGGGCCACTCTTCCCTTGGCTGCGATGAGTGACACACGTACCTCGCCGGTCACGCATACGGCCCGCCAGTATACGACACAGGCGTATGCATCTGAGCTCGCGTCGACGAATGTGTGAAGCTCCGTCGTATGTGCCGTCGCCACACCGGGGTAACACCGTGGTATTACCAAGTGGGGTAACTGCTGTGCGTGCGATATCCAGCTCCGCCACGCTGCTGCTTCCCGTTCTTGCAGTTCGGTGGCCCAGCCGATACCCGTGCGCCACGTTTCTTGTAATATATTCGTCGTCAACATAGTGATTGACAACCACCGCTGCAGCCGCCTCCGGGAACTCTTCTTTATGTAGTTCGGCGTTCTTGTTCTTCACGTATATCGCCGTGCATGGCGACGAAGTGGCCCCGAAGATGACGCTCTTCATCCTATATTCGACAGCTGGGCCCTGGCGTCGATCTCCTCTCCATAGAAACCGTTGCATGTCTCGGTCTTCTTCTCGTATTGTGACACGCATGAACATATCCTTGATGTCCGCTGTGACCGCCACACGGCGCTGTCGGAACCTCATGAGGACCCCAGGTAGTGATTGGAGTAGGTCGGGTCCCGACAGTAGCATGTCGTTGAGACTAATGCCCCTTGTCTTGGCGGCGGCGTCGTGCACGATGCGCAGCTTGTCCGGTTTCTGTGGGTTGATGACAGCGAAGTGTGGCAGGTACCATACTCGTTCAGTCTTCACCGGTGGGGCGATTTCTGCATATCCCCTTTCTAACAGCGTGGTAATTTGCTGTTTATATCTGTTCTTCATGTCTTCATTCTTGTCGAGTTTTTTCTCAATTAACTCGAGGCGTCGCATTGCTGAGTCGTAGTTAGCCGGCGGCGTTGCGTTGTCGCGTTTCCATAGCAACGCGGTCTCGTAGCCTCCCGCCGGTAACGGGCGAGTTTTTTCTTGCAATATTTTCAGCGCGCGTTGTTCCTCTTCATTGTATGAGCGCTTCGGTGTGACGCCCAGTGATTCGAGAGCGAAGTGTTCTTTCATTAATCGCTCTATGGATTCTTCATTTTCTTGCCCGTCGACTAAGTGACTGATTCTGTGCACTTGCTGTCTCGCTCTCGCCGCTCCCGTGCCGTGCAACACCCAACCCAGGTCGGTGAGTGATGCGACCGGTTGTGTCTTATTGCCTCTTCTGACTTCATGTGCGAGCAGCAAATGCCAGTTGTCTTGACCCAGCAGAACCGTCGGTTGACCTTCTTCATATGTCAGCTGATCTATTATATCGTACAAGTGTGGACAGTCTTCTATTGCGCTGCGTGATACTGTTTGTGGAGATAACAGTAGTTTCTTCATGGTTCGCGCAGACACGGCATGATCTTCCGATCTTCGTCCCCGTATTGTGAAGTGGACAAGCTTCGATTCATCGGCGTTTATGCGTGTCCCGGCCACGGCCTCTATGTAGAAGGGTGCGGGAGGACCAGTGGCGCCGATTTGCTTCGCTGTTGCTTCTTCGATGATGGTGCACGTTGCGCCGTCGACCAGGAGTGCGTATGTATCGCACGTTCCTTTGGGACCGATCACTTGTATCGGCACTATCTTGAGGAATGCGATCTTCTTATCTTCTCTCGCAGACGCGACGACTGCGGCTGCTTTATCATCGGAGGGCTCGCTGTCCTTCTTCTCTATGGTGTCGACGTGCAGGAGTGGGTGATGTAGGTGTGTACACCCACCAACGTTGCATCTCTTCGTCTTGCAGTTGTGACGAAATCTTTTTATCCTCAGGCAACGGAAACATAGCCTGTGTTTTTTTGCTATCTCCCATCTTGCTTGTGGCTCGGCGTTCTTCACAGTGATGCAATCGGGTGGTGCGTGTCCCTCCCTGTTGCACGTCGGACACGGCGGTGAAGTCGGTTTCTCCTGCGTGATGTATGTTTTCACGCTTCTCTTCGTTGCTGGCTCCCGCCGGTCTTCATTTACTATTACTTCGGCGGGTGCGAAGTCACCGCACCTGGCTGCGGTGATTTGCAGGAACTTGGAGAGCGTTATCAGGTCCGGTTGATCAGCTGGCTGTTCTGCTACGAAGTCGTAGTATTTGAATCGTAGCGCAGAAGGCATCTTCTCCGTGATGGATCTTGTCACTTCTTCGTTGTACAAATAGTGGTTCTTCTTCAGGGCTTGAATTGTTGCAGTGACATTGGCTATTCTGGATGCGAATAGACAGATGTCCTTGGGGTTGTCTGACAGCCGCGGCAGCGCACGAAGTTTATTCATCTCGGCCATCACGAGTGCTCCTGGACGGCCGAACCTCGTAGCAAGTAATTGTATTACTTCTGCTGCAGACGTATCCCCAACGAAAAGACAGTGTGCAGCCTCTTTGGCCGCACCCTTTAAACACCGACGTAATCTACCCAAGTTTTCTTGCTCGGTCAGCTGCCCCGCAGACTCTTCGTAGGCCATCTTCCAGGGCAGCCATTCGCTTGACGCGCCGTTGAAGGGTGGTAGTTCTGTGACTCGCGGCACTGTGGAGGGCTGAATTGCGCGAGCTGCCATAGTCATCGCAGTCGCCAAGTCCTTATAGTCGATGCCCCCTTTCAGTGAATCCTCTTCTTTCTTCGTTGGCATCATTGGTGCTATGGAGTCGTCCCTCGGACCGTTGTGGCTTGCATGGTCCCGTCGGAATGCGTCGCTGCACGGCTGCGGCTGCGGCGCTTTCGTTCCCTCTCCGGCGGGTATCGATGAGATATTAATCCCCTGATGCAAGTCGGCGGTCGTCCTCTCTGTGTGCGGCTCCATTGTGAGTGCCAATGTGCTCGTCCGGCGAATCCAGTCCGTAGTCCTCTCTCTTCTTAATGTGGCGGCGTCCTCTTCATTTTCGTCCTCCTCTTCGTCGTCCGTGTCTGCCTCCAATGCTGCGACGCGTGCGGCGGCCAGTTCTACCTCCTTGCGTAGCAATTCTTCTCTGGCTTTAGCCAATTCTTTCTTCTTTTTTGAAGCTGTGGTGCGCGGCGCCCTTGGAATTGTTGTGGTAGTCTCCGCGGAAGTCTCCGTGGTAGCAGTAGGTTCCGAGGACGTGTACGTCGTGGTGGTCGACGTAGTGGCGGCAGCAGGCGACGTGACGGCGGCGGTGTTTTCTTCGTTTGATTGAGCTTCCATGGCTGTTCTTTGGCTTCTTGTTGTTGGCATCTGTGATCTTGATCTCTGTGCAGTCTTGCTTTCTTCTTCCAACAATCCGGCTTCTCGAAGGACCAGATGTACGGGTATCTATTCCCCGTACTTGTTTGTAAGGTTGCGGGTGCAGGTGGAGGTGGAAACAAGAAAGACAAGTGTAAGTATCCTCTCGAGCAGAGTTCGGTGGTCTGTACTAGCGATGGAAGCGGAATGAATCGTGCCGCGTTCGGCACCTATATTTATACTCCGCCCGCTCGCACCGTGTCACGTACTAGGTAACGATTGTGTTACGCACATAGGTGCGAGCGGGACGGAGAGCGCGAAAAGACCACCTCTACTCGCTCCTTTATTTATTAATTTAAACTTTACATACAATACAATTATATTTAATTCTACCTATTAGGGAATTGAAACTACTACAATTATAAATTTTATTAAGCTAACAATAATCAAATATTTACAATAGTCGCGAACAGGATTAGATAAAAAACAGTTGTATGAATAATGTTTTTTACTTAACATGGCAGACACAGAGAACAGAATAGACTAGAATAGAAAATTCTTTATTCAAATAAACTTAATATAGTCATAACAATATTTTTAATCTACCACTCATTCTCATAACAAGAAGAACGAGCAAGAAACTTGTGTGTTGCTCTGTTAAATAATCCTTGTAAATTCATATCTTTCAAGTCGAAACTTGTGAATACAAACTACGAACTACCACTAATTTATTAGGATCAAATATAAATACACAATAAGATTAAATCGGTCGTAGTGATAAGAGAAGACCAGGCCCTACAAGCAGCATTCGTGAGTCTTCGTTCGGATGAGCCAGCCATCACTGCGCTCGACCATATTTTAGGAAGTCCAATGAGAGCGACACCAAGCCGTATAAAAATGAACTAAATGTTTGTTGCCGGTTTCATTCCAAACAATAGCAAGAAACACACAGAGCGCATACGACTTTCTTTTGACATAAATCATCATTATTTACAGAAACCTTATAACATGCCGAGTAGTGATATCATCGACCCGCGGCACAGCTACGCGGATGAGAAATTCGAAAAACTTCAGGAATATTACAGTTACATGAATGGACGTATGAAAGAGCCACACAACCCGGTAATGTATAATTTACGACTGTTGTTTTTATTTTATTGGAATGGCGAATAACCTCACGGTCCACCTCATGGTAAGCCGTAACCATAACTCCACCATTAAGTAATGTAATGACATAACTTTATATTAAATTGAATATGAGTTAATTTCAGTATTTGCATACCTCTAATGGGTGCTGCATGTCATGTACTTTTATTAGTTAGTAAGATCCGAAACTACCATGTAGCAAGCAAATAAATAAATTATTATTATTAAGAACATAGTCATTAAAGTACCGACCCCTTCATTTGGGATAGGTGCAATACTAAAATACAACAAAATAACATAAATAATGAATATAATTAAAATATTAATTCTTGACCTAAAACAGACGGAACGCCGCGAGATCCTGGAGAAAGGACAAAAGAAGCTATTCGCTTTCATAGACACGCACATCAAGGATTTGAAACGATTGCTGTTCGCTACAGACACGGCCCTCATGTCCATGGTGCAGCTAAAACTGAATAAGAAAATGGACACTTCGGAAGCGAAGATTAGGTCAACGCAGGCGAAGATACCTTTTGGACTCTACACTAGTCCAGGTTAGTTATACGTCCTAGAGGCAGCGCCGTACCCAACTCCGCCCTACCTCTATCGCCCAGTAAGGCAGAGACGAACTGAGAGTAAGGTACTCCCTTTGAGGTAGAATGTACCAGAAATTTGATGGTTTCTAGGTGAAACCGTGTGGAACTCAACCTGGCCGACATGGTACATTGCTAGCAAGTGTGTCTTGTGAATTGTCTTGAATTATAATTATTATTATTATTCTCGCTTACTTGTGGGCTGTGGGTCGATGTACCTCGCTACTTGTGGAAAATCGTTGTTGTGCGGTCGTTTAATTGTACATATATTTACGGCGAGTAAGATAATAGTGCGGCGACATTTTCAGTTTTAAACAAATTTTATTGTATAAAATTTTAAACATATATTTATTTTTTATATATTAAATTTATGTAGGCTGTCAGTAACTGTCAATCTGCAACACAACTGTAACATTATCTATGATGGGATGAGGTGTCGCTACTTAATTTGTTTCCTGTACTATCTAGATAATCACATCACATTAGCTTTTCTAAAATTCTTATGGAAAATATTGATCTAGATAGTGAGTGTACGGGTGTAATAATTGTGCTAAATTAGTAACTATTTGATAGTGTGCTACATGGCTTATAAGTACGAGTAACGCGAACACTCAACGCGGAGTCGTATTGCTGACTGACTTTACACAAGATAAATGTACCCAACTTATATGGAGACGTCAACAACTGGAAGAGTGCCGATTGTTGACATATATATTACAAGTGTAGGCACAAGCTATTGTCCGATGTGTACGTTTTAGAATTCAAATGTCTGGGTACATCTTACTACGTGGTGTCGGCACACAACCAAGAAGACGCGCAGATGATCCTGGCCAGCGAGCGGAAACCACACTGTTACACCTTCAGAGGTAATTAATTCTTCTAAAGGAAAATTACTGCGTCAATCTGAAGTAGTAAGTACTTAATGGTAATTTGTATTGTTTTGTTTAATTCCGCTACTATTAACATTTGTGAGATCACAAATATTCAATGCGGAAACCTAACTATACTACTTAAATATACTGTAGCGCGGTGGTCATATTAATCACTGTAGCGAACATCTTAGGTATACTTGTTATGAAGTTCTTACTTATTCATTCAAATCATTTATATTTTATTTAGAAATTATACTTTATTGTATATAATATTGATACATTTTCTGTTTACTCTGTCTTTCTATCAATTCCTTAGTAAAATCTTTCTTAACAAAATTATCATTATGTATATATGGTAATATATTCCTAATACTTCTATTGAATAACATTTCTGCTGGAGTTGTAACATCTTGAGATACTGGTGTATTCGGAATACACCAATTAAATGTATATCTTTTTTCTCATAAATTATTTTTGCAATATGTTTTTAATAGTTTGTACTCGTATCTTTCAGCAAGACCATTTCCTTGGTGAGGTTTTGGGCTTATGATCTTGTGATCAAAATTCCATTTTTTATTAAATATTTTAAAGTCTTCACTTGTAAACTGACTACCTGAATCAGAATATACTATATTAGGTACCCCATATCTAGAAAATATTTCTTTAATACACAGAATTACACTTTCTGTTGATAAATTTGATAACTGCTGAATCTCAACAAATTTACTATAAGTATCTACTATAAGCAAATAATTATTATGGTTTATTATAAAGAAAAAAATATATCTGACATGGATTGTTAGGTATCTCTTTACATATCATTGGTTCCATACGATTACTATTTTTATTTTATTTATTTATTCATTTATTTCAGGCAACTAGGCCCATATTATAAATACCTTATAGACTGACATACATATAATATAATATTTAAAAACTAATACAAGGATATTGTCTGTGTGATCACGGCACTGAAGACGGTAATCTGCAATGCAATCGAGCAGGACATTTATTTAACGGTTTTGAAAAAATAGAAACTAAAGGTCAGATTCTACTACAAATTGTTGCCCAAATAAATACTGATGAATTTTTTTACAATCATTTAAAATAGCAAGACTTTCTTTCTCAATTTGACTATATGACTTTTCAGTTTCTGTCATATACCTTGAACTATATCCTATTGGTTTCCTATTCTGGAAGATTACTGCACCTAAACCATCTTTAGAAGCATCCACACTTAAAACAATCTTTTTATTATTATCAAAATAAAACAATATTGGGGGTTCAACTAACATTTTTTCCAATTTATCATATGCAGTTTGCTGATCAACGGACCATATAAATGGAACTTGTTTTTTAATTAATTTACGCAATGGAGCTGTTAAGTTTGACATATTCGGAATGAATCTTGACACATAATTGATTACACCTAAAAATGTTAATAATTCTGTTTGTGATTTTGGCACTTCCATTTCTTCTATTAACTTAACTCTATCCTTATCTACCTTTATACCTTTTTCTGTAGAAATATGTCCTAAATATTTCACATGAGACTTTTTAAAATTACATTTATTAATATTAAATTTAATACCAAATTCCTGAGCCCTCTTAAGTACTTTTTCTAAAATTGAATCATGCTCTTTTTCTGTTATGGTATGAATAAGTAAATCATCAATATAAATCTCTATTCCTTGTATATCCTCAAATATTTTACTGAAAACACCATGAAATACTTCTGGACTAGATGACCAACCAAACGGTAATCTGTTATAAAAATATCACCCATAGGGTGTACTGAATGTAGTGAGCTCCTTGGAGTCCTCAGAAAGCTTAATCATAAAAAAACTGAATTTGCATCTAATGTACTAAATATGCGACTACCCTTTAACTTTGAAGCAATTTCATCTAATATAGGAATTAATATTTATTGACGTTTTATTTGAGGGTTTAGATATTGAGGATCTAAACAAATTCTTAATGTACCATTAGGTTTTGTAGTAATAACTAATGAAATGACTAACAAATGTAGTAGGTTTTTGTATCTTTGAAATAATATTTTTACTTTCCTACCTACCTACCTAACTTTTGCATTAATTTAAATGGAACATGTCTACATGGTTCAATTTTACCTTGCACTCTTTCTTTCAAATCAATTTTGTATTTGAAATCTTTAATTTCTCCTATACCCTGAAATATAACTTTGTATTTATTGTATAACTCCCATTCATATCTCCCTTTACACATTACAACATTAATTTTGTCCATACTAATATTTCTATTTAGTAAATTAAATTTTTGAATAGTTGGCAACCCTAAAATTGGTGTATAATTATCATAGCATACCTGAAAATTAACAATCTGTTCCCTTCCATTCTACCTCTTTCCAGTCTACATTTTAAATCAATTTGTCTAATAGTAGGAATTTTTCCTCCATTAAAATTAGTTAATGTTAGACTACTTTTTTCAAACTTAAAGAGTTTCCTATTATTACAAACTTTCAATGAAATTACATTGTGCACCAGTGTCCAATTTAAATATTATACTTTGTCCTTGTTGCACAAAATGTACCATTTCAAACCAGCTTGCCTCATCACTGCGAACACCAACTGAAAACAATTTAACACTTTTTTCACTATCACTCTTTTCTTCTTGACTTGCCATTACGGTTTTGATTCTTCCTCTGAAATAGCACATCTTCTTAAAATGCTCTGTTTTGTTGCAATTTGAGCATGTTTTCTCAAATGCTGGACAATTGTTCTTTCATGGTTGTATCCACACCACTGACATATGAAATTATGATTCATCTTACGCCTGTTATTGTAATTTTCTTGATTATTTTATGACATATTACTGTTTTTCTGATTTTGATAATTATTATTTCCTCTGTGGTAATTTTTATATTGATTATTAGGTATATACTTGTTTGTAAAATGATGAGTTTCCTGATTATTACTTCTTATATTTTTCTTGACTAAATTTATTTCTTGGCTGTTTCCTGCCTGATTCTCCATTTGTCTTATCTGTTTATTTGTAATTTCACTACTCTACAAATTTTCAATGCTTTATTTAGATCAATGTCCCCTTCGCTTAATAATCTATTTCTTAATTTAGTATTTCTTATTCCGGCTATTATTCTATCATTAATCATTCTATCTCTTAATTCACCGAAGTTACATTGCTGAGCTAGTTTTCTTAACTCAGTTACGTAGCAGTCGAAGGACTCATTTTCATTTTGATTTCTATTCATGAATACATGACAGTACACACTTTCATTTCTCAAGAGTATAAAATGGTCTACAATTTTTCTCATAACCATAATCATTCATTTGTTCCTCATTTAAATCAAAAGTACTATGGATGTCAATTCCTAAATCACCCATGTAATGTAACATAATTGCTATTTGGTTTCGGTTTATTCATACCAGTCGCTTTCCGATAAATTTCAAATCTTGTTTTCCATTTCGTAAATTCCTCCGCCTCTAATTTCTGAAGAGTTTCTGGGGGTTTCAAGCCCATAAAACTGTCCTCCATTTTTTTCTTTGTTCTAACAATGGATGATGCAGATTACTTGTTTTTGTATTTTCTGCAGACGAATCACTGAATTTAATCTATTTTATCTTTTTATTTAATACGCGAGTATGAAATTTCATACACTTCCGTCCGCGCAATTTTCGGAAACACGGGTACAAAGTTTTTACTTCACGTACTTAATCAATAAATGTAAAATCAATAAATGCAATATTTTGTATAACTTAAACATTTTAATGAGACCAAAAGAATCACCAGTTTCCTAATAAAAAATATTTTTAAAGTAGGTTTATATAGCAATAAAGTCCGAGGTAAAAAAAAAAAATTTGTTGTATTAAGTATCACCTCCTTTTTGAAGTCAGATGAATGTCAAAAATCACTTCTAAACGGTTTATTTTATTAGTTTTTTTTATGTATGATAATAGAATGCTGCACCTGCCTGCGATAACGGTTTACGATGGCTGGCTGGCTGGCCAGTGGAGGATGATGAGCATGAGGTCAGGTCAGTCATCGTGACAAATTCACCAAGAATTTATCACAATGGTTTCCAGGGTAACCGTGTGGAGGTCAACCTGACTTGGTACATTGTTAGCAAAAAGATCATCAGTCCACATTAAAAAAAATCTACGTTAGGTGCCTTCGCTTTCACCGGATTCTACCACCGGCACTCGGAGGCAACGTACGTGGGACCACACGCAGAACAATTCCAGGCCAAGGATCCCAGCCAAGGTCTCTACTGCCACTCGGACGACAACTGGAGCGACGCGCAGTGCGTCTACAAGTAAGTGAATTCAGTTAAATTTAAATTTTAGTTTTTAATATACATTATTTTTATTGTTAACCGGGTCTTAACACGATTAATTTTATGGCAAATCAATTTTGCCCGTGTTTATAATATTAGTCAGATAAAGGTAAAATTACCTTTATTTTTATTCAGCCTATTTTCTTCGGTTAAAGGGCGACTTTTTAAGTTTTTGTGTCTTCTCATCTGATTCTGTCGATTCCCATGCAGTAATATAAAATAGGTATAATTGTCTTCGTCTACAATTGGTAGTAAACTTCATATTTTTAAAATTACAACTTTGTAATCCAGTTCTTGACCAGGTTTTTTCAGTTTAAAACTAAGATTTTCTATTTCTGCTAGGTATTTATTAATATTCTGGGCAGTGAAATAGGGTAATATAAATAAAATTACTTACTAAACTTATAGATGTATTTAGTGGTAGCGTATATGACACAATGTAGCAAAACAATATAATAAAAAATATATGTCAAAAATTGTATATAAAAAATATAAGGTTTAGAAATAGAAATATCTATAAAAGGAGGTCTGTCGCCAACAGAAAGTCTTGTAAAATTTGACATTTATTACGTCCTGAACCAACGTACAAACTAGTGAGAGCGTCGAACATATCTTTCATAAGTTAGTAAATGTCGTCGTAGGTACATGTTTTTTATAAATGTATGAAATGATAATGGTCTATGCTTGAGTGTCTTTTTTTCCAATTGTCATCTTTTATCTTATCATTATTGCATAGAAGTATTCTAAAGAGCAGTCCTTTTAGTTTTTAGTATTGGTTTGATCCCAAACTTCCAGATGTTATATGACTAATTATTTACTCGTTTTGTCGTTTTTTCCCCAAATCTCGCCATTTTATTTTAGGTATTATATTTTTGTGAGGAAAGTTACCTCTGAACTTATCACTTTTACAGAGTAACTAGTGGTGTACAAGTAAATAACGTAGACGAACAGATAAACAAAATTATATTTCTGAACAAGATAAAATTATAAAAAAAATATTTATTACAACAATATAGATAGTACCTACAGATACACTAATATGACGGCAGACAAGATGACAAAACACACTCTCTTTTCAAATATTCAAATATACTTCATCTGCCATACCAGCCAGTCTAGACATCGATTACAAACCTCGTTCTAATACATTTATTAATAAGCTACACACGACATTACGTTAAAAAAAAATATTTCAAAATATTTTTTCATATTGACACAACTTTATGCAGTTCTATGTTAATTCAACAATATCTTTGACAGTATCATGGCTCTTAAAACAACAACAGCTAATTGTTTTTATAACGAGTGAAGGAGTTAGGAAATGTAAAGATAATGGAAAAAGAATGAATGAAGAAAGTAAAAATAAATATTCGGCCTTAAAATTACGATTCAATATTTTATGTTCCCTCCCCTGGCCCTAATTGCTAGAAGACGGTTTTTCATAGTTAGCTTAAGCCTAATCAGTTTCTGAATCGATTCTTGCGGGATACCTTCCCACTCCTCCATCAAAGCCGATTTCAGCTCATTCACACTCGAAGGAGCAGGATTTCTTGAACGAACCCTCCCGAACGAACGAACTTTGGTATCAATTTAAAGTTGACAGTTTAACCTTTCAATGATACCAATTTTATTGTTCTGAACTAGTTATTAAATACGGAATCTAATATAACTAGAGTGGCTTACCAAATATTGTTAGCGGTGGAGACGGAAGCAGATATCTACGGGTATTACAAAAGGATCGGAAAGGAAGGGATCGGGCGAATGGGTACACGACACGACACGAACACTTTAACACTATTATTTACAATTTATAAAATACATATATGATTTTTCAGTTTTTTTTTAGAGTGACAATAAACAAGGACCCTCCTAGTTTATTGTAGCCCTAGTAGCCACTCTAGTCGTAGACTTTATACTAGCGCTATTCAACCTTAACAGAATCAATTCCAAATAAATGATTCCATGCTTTTGCTCGCGAGTATAGTAGGTAGTACAGTTGTAAAACTAAAAGTAAACCAATGCGATCTCATTTGATTGTACATAATTATTTTCAGAATAAACCCCCGCGAGGAGTTCCCAGAGTCGGTGGAATATGAGCCAAAGGTGTCCTACTGGTGTGGTCCCTACCGTTACTTCATACCAGCCACCACCGACGTCAGATGTATATTCTCCATTTTCTCCATGAACTTCGTGTTCCGTTTTGGATACGACGGTGTTACATATAAGAGTTCGGATTTGTCATTTGTAAGTATATTTTCTCTAAACCAATTTACTATAGTCCCCTATACGGTCCGGCAGTAAACTAGAAATAGTAATGCTGTTGTCCGCAGCTGTCCTTTATAGCTTCATCTGACGATGAACTTGCCATGTGTTTTATTGTATAGAGACAAAAGAACTTGGTACTTACCTGATAGTAAGTGATCACTTATTGTATTATAAGTAATTCTTTATTCTTTTAACCGCAATCAAGTATCACTACACATCCCAAAGGTTGACTGGGAGGGAATGCTATAGCATTAAGTCCACCTGTTCTATCTATTTTTAATGTCAATAAAGCAAATAAAGTAATAAATAAAATTATCGCCGCCCGTGTGCACCCAGGCAAGACAAGGGATATTGCAAGTTCGCTGTCGCCTTTTTAAGAAGTAATAATCTCTTTTAATGCTTAATTCAATCTGTCTAATGGCGTAACCGTCAGGCAGGAGTTGGTCTTCAACCGCTCTAAGTACCGAACTCGCTCTAAGGCAACGATGACGTCAAAAGTTTAGGAACAAAACCGCGCTGAGTGCTAAGGGGGTAGTCACCAATATCACACATCCCCTGGAATATTAATTTCCAGGCTTTTTACTAGTTTTATTTACAATTTACATCACTTTTAACAATTTTCTTTCCCCGTTATGATTGGCAGATGTACCAAAACGGGCAGGTGTTCTACACAGACGAGCCGTGGGCGGGCATGTCCTGCTGGAACTGGGCCTGCAAATGGCGCCACAATCAGAACCAGCGCGGGAACGAGTTCTTTGTCAACTGATTATTTGTTCATAAAAAATATCTGAAATATTACACATGTTGTTTTCATTCAACTATAATAGCAAACAAGCTGTTCACCTGATGGTAAGTGGTAACTGTTACCTACTACGGACATCACGTTATCATGTGAGACCCATGATACTCAAGAGTTGCCATTCCAGGGTATAATTTGACTGCCTAATCTGCACCGCACAATCGAAACACGATGAATCGAAGTAAGCTGCTTGACGCCTAAATTATGTGAGATTGAAATAAAGACAGTATAATAAAGTATTTCGGTATAGCCATTTGGACGCCTAAAGCACTGAACTAATTTTCTTGAAATTTGGGCTAAATGTAAATTGAACCTTGGAGAATAACATAACCTAGTTTTTGTTCCAATAATAAATCTCAAATTCAACCAAACAGCAAACTGTAATTATTAACTGCATATACTTAGTAGTTCAAGTAGTATATTTATATATATTTTCTAATAAAGGCAAATTAGAGAAATAAAAGAACAATATTTTAAAATATTATTTATTAACAATAATAAAATTGCATTTACAATACTTTACGATATAACAACCTTAACTACATATTCATATTCTAAATGCTTTGTTCTTGCATTGCACAGTTTTAAATAAATACATACAAAATAATTATTAAAATATATTAACAATTCAAAGATTTGGACTGAACACGACAGTTTGTAGGATTCTCTGGCACATGTTTTTTTATTTATCCTTAGACTGTATGCTGAACATTTTTATATATTTACTTGTTAATTAATTTAGATTTTATACATTACAGAATTGTCATCACACGACAATATTTTGTACAAAATATGGGATATAAATTTGTGGACTTTACATGGAAGATTTTGGTAGTTTTAGTGCTATTTTGCAAAAATGTATGTGTACTTTGTATTTTGTACAACACCATCTTGTAAACAGTAGACAACCTTTTAAAATATAAATTTCTTAAACGATTAATGTATATAAAAGATTGTTAAAAAGTGCTAAAGATTGTTGAAAAAAAAATAAGACTTAACAATTATTTAAAGGAGCAACACGCAAGTTTCTTGTGATGAAACAGTTTCCGAATGAGCGGTAGCTAAAAAAAGTAATATGACTATTAAAAAGTGTTTAATTTTAAGTTATTTTGAATACAGATTTCCTATTCTATAGATGGCGTATAACAAGTACAAAGTATACCTACAAGTATACAAGAATACGAAATAGCAGGAATCACTTATAACACTATAACACTAAAACATCAGGTCATTTGTGCTGTCTGAAATAATGACATTATTATTAAACTAAATTGGACTTACACGGTTAAATGATAAGGTTACGTTTACAACGCTGTAAATAATACTCAAATTACACTAATAACTACAAAGGAATACAATTGTTATGCCTGTAAAATATAGAAGCAAATACTGAAAGACAACATTATTATGGGGTTACCATTTTAAAAATATTAATAAAAAAAACTGGACCTCCTTTAAAAAAAATAGGATATAGTCATGAGTGTAGCCAACCATGTGCTCAGGCTCACACCCGCTGTCTTACCCAAATTATTTTTTCAAACAAAACGGTTACACTCTATAGCACCCGGTATCTGTGTTATTTGTTGTGTCGACTATCGAGTATGAACTTTCTTAAGAATATTAGGTATTATAGTTAGTACTTAGATAATTTATTTTTTAGGTTAGGTTAGGTACTTTACTCGTCAGAGCCTGTTGGCGAAAGCCCCTGCCACCCTGTCCTACTGTGGCTACTCATGATTATAGCCACAAAACTTTATCAAAATCAAGAATGATGTAATTAATGAATAAATTTTTATGTGAAAATATTTCCGCCAAAGTTCCGGATAAATAGTAACCCTACAATATTATCTATCCTGATACATTAGGTAAATGTTATAGAGGTATTAAGTAATACATATATTTACACTTAAATAATCAAGCATAATATAATTAAGTTCGTGTTGAGACCATACAAACTCTACTAAAATTATTAAATTATGCACAGAAATATTATTATCAATCGGCTAATCAAAAATACTGATCCTACCTCTACACCTAAACTAAGCTAAATGTAATTTCTAATAGTACGTATATTGCAAAATTTTGGATTTACAATGACAGAAACATGGGACGAGGATTGTTAGTAATGTGGAGTAATAACCTCGTAGCTAGCAATGTGCCATGTCCGGTTTTCTCCACGCGATTCACCCTAGAAACCGTCGTGGTAAGTTGCCATTTGGTAAGATGGGACCTCACTTCATGCTCATCTTATCATCCTCCACAGGCTGCTTGTATCATTATCATCCATAACAAATAGGACAGAATGATGTCAGAATGACTCTAATGATGGAGACCATAAGTCATCCGGATGACTGTGACCATCATTAGAGTGGTAGGTAATTGTAAGCTGATTTAAATTATTTGTGATTTTAATATTAATTATTCAATCTAGTTGATATCTATCTCAGAATATTCTAACATAGATAAGATCCAAGACTGTGTAATTTCAGCAAAATATACATATATAATATTTCTGTTTTACATGAAAAATAACGTTACGTTTCCTTATAATATTGTGTGCGACATTTAAATACATATTAAAACAATACTAGTAAATAATATATTAAAGGAACTTCGTAAATATAAGTATAATTAGCTACCATAGATTTTACATAGTCCAAGTAAATTGAAAATATGTGTACACATTAGAACTACAAAAATAAAAAAAAGCATACAGTCAAACCTGTATTAATATAGATAGATAGAATATAATTCATTTGTAACATACAGGAATGAAAATGCATGAACAATATATTGTTACTTAATATCGAAATTTAGACCTGAAAATTCGTATGATACAGCCAGTATTACATATTTCAATTTAATTTTTGCGTTTTCTTATTTAAAACGCGTTCCACAAATACGCATACATATCTTTATTTTGTCTGAAAATTTTGCAAGATATTCTATCTTGTAAACCAATTTTCAGATTCAATTTCAATTTATGATTTATGAATCCACACTCTTTTCTACAATCTGGCATGCTAAATTAATGGTGTCCAGTTGTTTATATTAATAATAGTATATATATATTTCTTATCTTCATTTGCATTTTATATATTATTAAATTCCGGGGCGAAATACCTGGGTTAACAGGATAAAAACACTTCGATCAGCCATTTTTACAACTGTTTTTGTTTTTTTTAACACACATCATTGTTAAACCAGTGTCGATAAATTTTGAAATCAAAAAATGATAGTGGGATGAAGAACAAACAAAAATCAAAGGAAAAAATGGATCTAAAGTCGAGAAATAACAAAAAAGGAAAAATAAGGAAAAAGTTAAAGGTAAGAACATGTTAAAGATAAAAAAACGATTTATCTCGTTTTGCGGCAAAACTACAAGTCCTATGGAAAACAGTTAAATAGCAAACTTGTAGGTAATAAAAAGATCTACAATTTTTCTATTTAAACAGTTGTGACATAACCTCAAAATTTATGTGAATTTTTTTTTTCACTTTTACTTCTTACTACTGTCACATTTTCATAGGCTCCTGCACTGGTCTATGTTAGAATAAAGCCAACGCATATATTATTGTCTAAATTATTTTTCTGTCGTTCATATCCTCTTAGTTACAACACTTAACATTATATATATTACAATATATGACTTAACTTCGTGATTAGTACAAAATAGCAAATAGCTATAAAATTCTATAACACCTATTCTAATTACATACTAGTTGCATTGCGTAGTTTTATATGTATATTATATTACTAGTTTACTTAGGTAGGTATTCGAATTGACAAATTAAATCATAGGTATTCTTGATGTCGCACAAATAAACCAGTCACCTCATTCGTTAATTTATAGACCTCAAGCCAGGGTATAATTTCTTCAAGCATTTCCTCTTATTTAAAAACTTCTATATCAATTGAGGTTGTATTATGAAGTCTAATAAATATCAGAGGGGAAGAAGGCATCGTTAGTAATGTGAACATACTAACTTGTATGTAATGTACTAAGTCAGGTGGACCTCCATGCGGTTCCTCCTGGAAACTAACGTGATAAATTACTGGTCATTTTGTCACGATATGCTAACTGATGTGACCTTGTGCTCATCTTATCATCCTCCACTGGTGCCCCGACAGCATAAATCGTTAGCGCAGGCAGTTAACGTTAGATTTTTCACAAAAAAAAAGTTTATGAGGTGAAATGGAGGTGTACCATTCCACAATCATCCATAATTAGCTCCAGATCCGAGGGTAGGTTGAGGAACAGGAACCTCATAAACTAAATTTTTTTTGTGTACAATCAACAAAAATGAAATACATATTACTATATTTATTATTATATGATAGAAGTTTTCAAACGGGAGAAAATTTGTCACATTGACCTGTAACTGGCTTACGGCCCATTAGTTTGTTATCGGTGTTTTCATCACTGGAGAAACAGTCAAAATATATAATGAACTTAACACCTTCACTTATATATCTAGAAGTTAGTACATCATAACAGTATCACCACCTACTGTTATGTTACCTACTCAATAGAAAAAACAATATTTATTTCAAAATCTCTTTGCAATTGACACTGTAAACACCATGTTAATATTAATTATTCTATATTAATACAAAGTATATTAGTATTTGTTTAAAAATTGCATTGTACGATGAAATGTAAAAGTAAACATTATTATAATAATAATACGGTATAGTTTGCATTGTGTTGAGTTCAGACTTTGTTATATTTTGATTCACACTAACTCATTTCTTAAGATCTTTATAGTTTTTAATTTAGAGCATCTATAATGTACAGGCTTTTTTTTATTGGGTTGTTTGGGCTATTGTCAGGTGCTAGGACCTGCAGCACTGCGACCTACATAGATCTATTGTGCTCGCCCTTTTTCAGAGTTCGCTACCTAGACCCGTCAGGGGTAAGAATTGAAGGGTATTCTTAGGTGCGATGGTTTTTATCTCCTCGGGAA